AATTAGTTTGGGTATACTTCTTCAATATTCTGCAAAACTTTTTGTAGAATTAAAACTATTTTTAGATTTTTTAATGTTTATTTTGAGAGAGAGAGAGAGAGAGAATGCAAGCACAAGTGTGGGAGGGGCAGAAAGAGAAGGAGACACAGAATATGAAGCAGGCTCCAGGCTCTGAGCTGTCAGCACAGAGCCCGACACAGGGCTCAAACCCATGAACTGTGAGATCATGACCTGAGCCAAAGTTGGACACTTAACCGACTAAGCCACCCAGGTGCCCTGAGTTAAAATTATTTTTAAAAAATATTTGACAGGCTTCACTATTGAAGCCATCCGGGCCTGGAGTTTTCAACTACAAATTAAATTTCTTTATTAGATTGAGGATATTCAGGATGTCTGTATCTTCTTGAATGGTCTTTGGCAGCTTGTTTCTTTCAAAGAGTCGGTCTATTTCATCTAAGTTTCCAAATTTTTTCGCATGAAACTAACCATAATATGTTCTTATTATCCTTTTAATATCTTTACAATCTATAGTGATGTCACAGCTCTCATTCCTAATTGTTATGGCTGAATTGTGTCCCTCCAAATTCTATGTTGAAACCTTAAACCCAGCATCTCACACTGTGTTTGGAGACTGTATTTGGAGATAGGGTCTTCAAAGAGGTAATTAAGTTGAAGTAAGGTTATTAGGCTGGGTCTTAATCCAATATGACTGGCATCCTTGTAAGAAGAGGGGATTAGGACACAGACATATACAGAGGTAAGAACATGTGAAGACACATGGAAAAGACAGCCATCTGTAAGCTGAGGGGAGAAACCTCAGAAGAGACTGACCTTGCTAACACCTTGATCTTAGACTTCTATCTTCCAGGATTGTGAAAAAATAAAAACAAATTCCTATTGTTTAATTGCCACTGAATAATTAACACTTTACTTTGCTTCAACAGCCCTGAAACTAATAAGGAAACTAATATATTAGTATTGAGTATTGTTTATGATTCAGTTTTATTTCCAACTGTGAGTCATCAACTGTATCTCTGTTTTGTTACTTGGTTGGCTGTTTTGGTTTTATAGACCATATCTTGGCCATATCTTTCTTTATGTGATATTTCCACTTCATAAAGAGTAGAAGAACCTTACAAAGGTGTACTGCTGTTTCTCCTTTCTAAGATTTCTGTTGTTGTCATATATTTTAGTTCTACATGTTACAAACTACACACAACATCATTATTTTTATTTAAATAGTGAACTAGATAGATTTAGATAGATTCAATCAATAAAAAATATGACATATTTAATTCATATTGTTACTATTTCTAATGCTCTTTATTCCTTTTTGTAAACCCTGATTTCTATCTGCAGTCATTTTCCTTTAGTGTCTAAGACTTATTTTAACATTTCTTTATTGTGAGTCTACAGCCATTAAATTCTCTCAGCTTTCATATGTCTGAAATATATTTTTAAAAGTATTTCTCTGGTGGGATGCTGGCTCACTTGGTTGGTGGGGTATGTGACTCTTGATCTTGGGGTTGAGGGTTCAAGCCTCATATTGGGTATAGAGATTACTTTAAAAATGAAGTATTTAAAAAAAAGATATTTCTCTGTCTCTAATATTCTATGTTGGGTTCCCCCCCGTCCCCGCCTTTGAGTAGTTTAAAGATACTTTTCATGGTTTTTTTGTTGAGAAATCTATTGTCCTGCTTTTCTTTATCCCATTGTATGTAACATATATTTTTTTTCTACTGGCTGTTTACAAGTTATTCTTTTTTTTTTTTTTAATGTTTCTTTTTGAGAGAGAGAGAGAGAGAGAGCAGGGGAGGGGCAGAGAGAAAGGGAGACACAGAATCTGAAGCAGGCCCCGGGCTCTAAGCTGTCAGCACAGAGCCTGATGTGGGGCTCGAACCCACAGACCATGAGATCATGACTTGAGATGAAGTCGGATGCTTAACCCACTAAGCCACCTAGGTGCCCCAAGTTATTCTTTTTTAAACTGTTTTTCAGCCATTTGATTATGATGTACCATCATATAGTCTCTTTTGTGCTTCAAGTTTCATGAGCTTCTTAGTAAGGCTGTGGATTTATAGTTTTGTTTAAATTTAGAAAAATTGTAGCAATTATTCTTCAAATACTTTTCTTTGAGTATCTTTCCATCCTTCCTTTTGGGGATACCATTTACAATTTAGGTTATTTGAAATTGTCTCAAAGTTCACAAATGCTCTCTTCATTTGTGGCGGCTTTTTCTTTTTGAGTTTCATTTTGTATGGCTTCTCTTGCTGTATCTTCAAGTTCCCTAATCTTTTCTTTTACAGTGTCAGATTCCTACACCAATCCATCCAGAGTATTCCTCATTTCAGACATTGTAGTTTTCATTTCAACAAATTTGGTATGGGTCTGTTTTATATCCTGCATGTCTCTACCTAACCTCTTCAATCTGTCCTCTCACTTTTTGAACATATGGAGTACAGTTATAACTGTTTTAATGTTCTTGCCTGCTAATTCTACCATCTGTATCTGTTTTTAGTTGGTTTTGGTTAGTTGATTTTTTTTTTCTCTTCACGATGGGAAGTATTTTTCTACTTCTTTGTTTGCCTTGCAATTTCTGATTGAATGTCAGACATATTAAATTTTTACCTGGTTGAATACTAGATATTTTTATATTCCTATCTTTATTATTGAGCTTTGTTCTGAGACACAGTTAAGTTAGTTGGAAACAGTTTGATCCTTTGAGGGATAATCTTTTAAGATTTGTTAGGTGGGACTGGAACAGAATTTAATCTAGAACTAATAATTCTGCATTTTTGATGCAAGTCATTGCTGAGCACTCTCCTCTTCCCCGTCAATTATGAGGTTTTCCACTATGGGTGATGGAAATTAACATTATTCTTGCTTCTGTGTGAAATATGAATACTTTTCCTTCTGATCTTTTCAGGTGGTCCTTTTCCTGGTCTTAGAAGTTTCTTACTCACATGAACTCATTAGTACTCTACTGAATACTTGATAGCAGCCCCCCATCAATATCCAGAGTTTGCTGTCTTGGAAGCTGCCTCCTGTCTAATCATCTGTCCTGTGAATTTTAGTCACCTTGGTCTCCCTAAACTTCCAGCTCCATATCCATAACATAGGTAGTGTTGTAGATTTTAGCAGGATCCCCACCCTTCCCCCATACTGGAAACTCTCAAAACAGTAAGGTAATTGTAAGGGTAACCTTTGTATGTTTTTAACATTCTGAAGAGATCACTGTATTTCATTATTTGATGTCCACTGTCTTGAAAATTGTTGTTTCATGTCCCTCTTGCTCTCCATCTTGGCTAGAATCAGAAGGCAGCTTTCTTTCAATTCACTTAATGCATTTGAAATTCATTTATATGTTTGCATGAATCAGCAGTTTATTCCTTATTATTGCTGAGTAGAATTTTATCATATTGATATACCAACTTATCCATTTACCAGCTTCAGGACATTTGGGTTGTTTACACTTTATAGCAATTATAAGTGAAGCAATTATTTATAATTATATATATATTAATATTCCTATTTAGGTATAAATATATGAACATGAATTTTCGTTTCATTCAGGTAACTACCTTGAGGTGGCATTTCTAGTTATGTGATAAGAATAAATTCAACTTAAACTCCTAACTGGTTTTATGCCTATAACATTTAGCTTTCCATTAGTACTGTATGGAGAACTACAGAGGGTCCTCATCTTCCCTAGCCATTAGTGTTGTCAGTGTCAATATATTGGTGTTCTGGTGTCTCACCATGGTTTTAATTTTTATTTCTGTAGTGACTGGTCATGCTGATCATCTTTTCATGATATTTGCCATTTGTATATCTTCTTTGCTATAGTGTTTGTTCATATCTTTTTACCCACAAATTTTTTATTTGCTTGGGGTTTTTTCACCTAATTGTTTATCTTTGAGGGTTCCTTATATATACTTGATACAATTCCACATATATGTGATTTGCAAATGCTTTCTTCCCAGCCTGGGGCTTGTCTTTCGATTCTTTTGACAGTACCTGTTGGAGAGCACACATTCATAATTGTAATGAAGTCCAATTGATCATTTTTTTCCTTCTCTGTATCATCATTGTGGTGTTATAAGAAATTTTTGCTTAAGCAAGGTCATGAATATTTCCTCCTGTGTGTTCTTCTAAAATTTTACAGTTTGGGGCTTTACTTCTGCATCAGAGACCCATTTTGAGTCTGTTTTTGTGAATGGTATAGATACAATTTCATTTATATGGACATCTACTTTTATCCAGTGCTATTTTTGATTGTATTAAAGTACACATCACATAAAATAAACCATCTTAACCATTTTTAAGTGTACATTTTAGTGATATTAAATACACTGGCCTTATTGTGTAGCCACTACTATCATCTATCTCCATAACTCTTTTTCATCTTGTAAAACCAGCTCTATACCATTAAACAATAATTCTCCCATTCTTCCTTACCCTTACCCAGCCCCTGGCAACCATCATTATACTCTGTCTTTATATTTTTGATTACTCTCCCAGCACTAGTTTTGAAATGACCATCTTTTCTCACTGTTTTTGCACCTTTGTCAAATATCAGTTGTCTTTGTAGGTGTGGTCTATTTCTGTATTCTCTCTTCTGTCCATGGATCTATGTCTGTCCTTTTCTCAATGCCACACGGTCTTGATTACTGAGACTCTGTAGTAAGTCTTGAAATAAGTAATTTGAATTCTCTTTTTCAAAATTGTTTTGGGTACTTTGGGCCCTGTGTCATTATATATGACTTTTAGTATCAGCTTATCAATTACTACTCAAAAAAAATCTTTCCAGGATTTTGGTTGGGAATTCATTGAATTTATAGATCAGTTTGAAAAGGATTGAGCCTTCAATGAACCCAGCATATTCTCTCCTTAGGTCTTCATTCATTTTTTCATCTGCAATTTTTAGCTTAGAGATCTTGCCGATATTTTATTAAATTAAAACTTAAGTACTCCTTTTTTAATACTAGAAAGCTTAGCATTTATTCATTAAAGAACACAGGAAATCAACTTATTTCAAATAAAATGATATTGCACTGTGATTCCAACTTTATTCGTCAGCTACATGTTTATGGGGATAGCAGGATCTGGAGGCAAGGCACAGACAGACGCTGCCATTGGACACACATGAAAGCTGCACACATTACAGCAGCTGTTACTAAATGTTAATTTTCAGGGGCTATTGCTAACTGCTTTTTATTTCAGTTTCACATTATTCATTTATAATACATAGAAATACAATTGATTTTTGTATATCAATTGTGTACTTTACACAACTTTGCTAAACTCATTTATTTTAGTTTACTGTACATAAACAATTTGTGTTCTATTTCCTCTATTCTAATGTATTTTTTTTTTCTTGCCTTGCTTTCCTGACAAGGACGTCCATGCCATTGATGATTAGAAATAGTGAAAGTGGGGGCACCTGGGTGGTTCATTCAGTTAAGCAGCCAACTCTTGGTTTCAGCTCAGGTCATGATCTCATGGTTCATGAGTTCAAGCCCCACGTCTACCCTGACAATGTAGAGCCTGTTTGGGATTCTCTCTCTCTCTCTGTCTCTCTGCCCCTCCACTGCTCGCTCTCTATTTCTCTGTTTCCAAATGAACATTTCAAAAAATAAAGAAATAGTGAAAGTGAACGGTCTTGCCTTTTTTTTTTTTTAACTTATAGGGAAAGCATTCAGTTTCTCACTATTAAATTTAATGTTTGCTAGAAATTTTTATATAGATGCCTTCCATCAGATCAAGGGAGCTCTCTTTGCTTCCTAGATTTCTGGGAGTTTTTATCATGAATGGTGTTGGATTTTGTCATTTTTTCCCCTGCATTTAAGTTGAATTTTATGGTTATTCTTTATTCTGTTAATATAGTTGATTACATTGATTGATTTTCTTTTATTATCTCTCGGTTTTTTATTGTGATAAAAGATATATGTCTTAAAGTTCCATTTTTGCCATTTCTAAGTGCATAGCTCAGTGGCTTTAGGCACATTTACACTGTTGTACAATATCAACATCATCTCCAGAACTTTTCATCTGCCTAAACTGAAACTCTTTATCCATGAAACAGTAACTTCCCAATCCCAACTGTGTCTGACAACCACCATTCTACTTTCTTTGTCTATGAATTTGAGTACTTTAGGTATCTCATATAAATGGAATCAGTATTTGTTTTGAATCTGGCTTATTTCACTTAGCATAAGGTCTTCAAGGTTTATTTACGCTTTAGCATCTATCAAAATTTCATTCCTTTTTCAAGCTGAATAATATTCCATTTTCTCCATATACCACATTTTGTTCATTTGTTCATCCATCGATGGACATTTGGATTATTTCCACCTTTGGGCCATTGATAATGCTGCTGTGAACATGGCTGTACAAGTATCTATAGTTAAACCTAATTATGTAAATAATTATGGGAAATATCAATGGTCTAAAAGCTCAATGTAAAGGTAGAAATTGTAAGAATGATGTAGAAAACAACTATTTATATCAAACAGTTTAACCTAGTTGACACATATAGAACATTACACTGAGATATTGTAGAATTCATTTTTTTTTCCATTTTATTCACCTGGATAGGTCATATTCTCTTGCCAGAAATGTTGGAGGTGGAAATACTTGCTTATCTACTCATTTTGTGAGGACAGGTTTACCATGATACCAACTCCTGTCAGAAACAGTAAAGAAAAGAATACTATACACCAATATCCCATATAATCGTAGATGCAGAAACCATTAGTAAAATATCAGCAAATTGCATCCAATAGTATATAAAAAGGACAATATGCCATAATGATGTGGAATTTTTACCACTAATATAAGTTGGTTTAACACTTAAAGATCTACACCTCCCCATTTTCCCCATCTCTCACCCCTGGTAGACACCTACATTCCACATAAAAATGAGATCATGTAGTATTTTTCTTTCCATATCGAGCTTATTTCACCTACCATATCTTCCAGATTCATCTGATATTGTCACAGATGACAAGATTTTCTTCTTTGTAAGACTAAATAATATTCCCTTGTAAATACATATATATATATACACATATTTATGTATATATATACATATTTATATATATGTGTGTATATATATATATATGTGTATATATATACACACACACACCATAGTTTCTTCATTCTTCCATCCATGGACAGTTAGGTTGTTTCCATATCTTGGCTATTGCTAATAATGCTGCAGAGAACATGGGGGCACAGATATTTTTTATTCTCTCATCTAAAATGCCATTAAAAACACTAAGTATTTAGGGATAAAGTTATAAAAATATGTCTCTACAACCTGTACATTGAAAAATGCAGCACATTCCTAAGAGAAATTAAAGGAAACCTGCATAAGTGGAGATAAACACAGTTTTCATGGTTCAGAAGTCAATAGTAAAAGATGTTATTTGCCTCCTAATTGATCTGTACATTTAGTGCATTCCAAGTCAGAATACTAGTGAACTTTTTCTTTTTAAAATTAACATGCTGATCCTAAATGTTATATTAAAATGTAAAAGGATCAGGACACCTAAAACACTTCTTATTCTTTTCAAATTTTTATTTAAATTCTAGTTAGCTAAAATACCATGTAATATTAGTTTCAGGTGTGCAACTTAATGATTCATCATTTATACACAGCAGCCAGTGCTCATCATAACAAGTGCCCTCTTTAATCCTCATCACCTGTGTAACTCCTCCCACTGCCCACCTACCCCCTGGTAACCAGTTTTTTCTCTGTAGTTAAGACTCTTTTGATTTGCCTCTCTTTTTTCCCCAAAGTTCATTTGTTTTGTTTTTTAAATTCTACATGTGAGTGAAATAATATATTTGTCTTTCTCTGACTTATTTTGCCTAGCATAATACTCTAGCTCCATGCATATCCTTGCAAATGGCAAGATTTTATTCGTTTTGATGGCTGAGTAATATTCCATTGTGTATACATACCACATCTTTATGCATTCATTAGTGGTTGAATATTTATGCTCTTCCAATAACTTGTCAATTATTGATAATGCTGCTGAAAACATCAGGGTGCATGTATGCCTTTGAGTCAGTATTTTTATATCCTTTGGGTAAATACCTAGTAGTGTACTTGTTGGATCATAGAGTAGTTCTATTTTTGACTTTCTGAGGAATCTCCATACTGCCTAAAACACTTTTTAAAAAGAAGAACAAGGTTGGAGGATTTAACTTAAAAAAGCTACATTTTTTGAGACAGTATAATACCACCATAAGGATAGATATAAAATTAACGGAATCTAACTGAGAGTCCAAAAGTATTCCTGCACTTATGTGTTCATTTGACTTTTCAACGAGAAAAGGAAATTCTTTTCAACAACTAGTGTTAAAAGTTGGATTTCCATATAAAAAAAAAAACATCAACTTTGATCTTTACCTTCTATTATCTCTAAAAGTAACTTGAAATTGATCACAGACCTAAATGGGAAAGTTAAAGTTTTTAAAAGAAAACATTGGACAAAACCTATCATGGCATAGTCAAAGAATTATACAAGACACCAAATGTAATAGAAAAAATATGACAAGCTAGACTTCATCAAAAATTTTTAAATTCTCTTTTTTAACAGATAACTCTGAACAAATGAAAAGATGGATGAGGAGAAAATTTGCAATACATATGTGACATAAAACTTGTGTCCAGAATAGGTAAAGAACTCTTACAACTCAATAATAGGACAAACATCAGAATTTAAAAAGAAGACATGTAAAATCATTAGTTATCAAGGAATGCAAATTAAAACCATAGTGAAATACCACTACATATCACTGGCTAGTTAGAATTTAAAAGATTAGCAATACAAAGTGTTAATGAAGATGTAAAGCACCTGAAACTTACATAAATGTTTGGCTGATGTGTAAATGGTACAACTACTTTAGGAAACAGCTTATTCTTTATAAATTTGAACATACTCTTACCCTATAACCTGGAAATCTGCTGGGTGTTAACTCAGAGATATAAAAACATGGTCTACCCAAACCCTTGTACGGAAAGTTTTCATGGTAGCTTTATTCATAAAAGCTCAAATTTGAAACCTCCCCAAACACCCAACAAAAAGTGAGTAGATAAACACATTGTCCTTTTCCATATAGTGGAATACTACACAGAAATAAAAAGAATGAAGTGCTGCTGTGCTCACTGTATTTTTTTTCTAAATTGCTCTGCATCAGTATTACCAGAAACGTAGCTAAAAACACTACACATTTATCATCTCCATTTCTTGTGGTCATGAGTCCAGGCCTAGATGGGTTTTCTACTTAGGGTCTCACATAGACTGCAATCAAGGTGTCCAGGACTGCATTCCCATCTGGAGGTTTGAGTGTGAAAGGATCCATTGTTCCACATGTATGGTTGTTCATAGAATTCAGCTCCTTGCAACTATAGTACTGTGAGCTTCAGTTTTTCACTTGATGCTGACCACTAGAGGTCACTTAATGCTCCTACAGGTCACTGGAAGTTCCTTGCCACATGGGATTCTCCAATATGCCACCTTTTCTCTTACAGCCAGCAAGGGAGAGACTCCAGCAAATGGATGCTATAATCTCGTCTAACGTAATCATTCACTCATAGATGTCCCATCACTTTTGCCCTCTTATCATAGTTAGAAGTAAGTCATAGGACCTGCCTTCACTCAGGAGGAAGAGGCCATACAAAGGTGTGGACATGAAGAAATAGGAGTTGTGGAGGACACCTTAAGAGTCTGTTCTCTGCACACAGTTACATGGATGAACTTTAACAACCTTATGTTGAGTAAAATAAGATAGGTGCAAAAGACTGCATACTGTAAAATTCCATTTATATGAAATTGTAAATAAGACAGAACTCATCAACAGTGACAGAAAGTGTAGCACTACCTGGGGGCTGTGGATGGATTAGGGTGGGCGTTTGCGTGTGGTCAGAGATTAGGAAACTTGCCAGTGATGGAAACATTCTATATACTAATTGTGGTGCTGGTTAGAACGTTCTATACGTTTTTCAGAATTCATGGAATTTCACACCTAAAATGGTTTCACTGTACTGTTTATAAATTATATCAAACTAAAGTGGATTAAGGAAAAAGAATTGTAGGGGCACCTGGGTGGCTCAGTCAGTTAAGCGTCCGACTTCAGCTCAGGTCATGATCTCACGGTTCATGGGTTCAAGCCCTGCGTCGGGCTCTGTGCTGACAGCTAACTCAGAGCCTGGAGCCTGTCTTTGGATTCTGTGTCTCCCTGTCTCTCTGACCCTCCCCTGCTCATGCTGTCTCTATCTCTCTCTCAAAAATAAATAAAGCATTTAAAAAAAATTTTTTTAAAGGAAAAAGAATGGTAATAGGCTTGAGCATCACAAAATTTTTAACTTAAATATACCAATTAAATCTAATATCATCTTTAAGATATGCTTGAGTCAGTAATCAGAAAGTGACTCATTTCATAATATATCATTTAAAGAATTTTCACATTTAAAAAGTACAGAGTCTTGTTTTTATAGTTTTTTTTTTAATAATGTATATACACCCAGAACTGACAAAGATCAGTTTTTAAAAGATGAGGGCTTATTATAGTGTTCTCTTTTCCTTGAACAAATTAAACAACACATTTTTCTAATGTAATATCTTTTGGATACAGACTCCTCACAAGCTTTCCGTAATTTTAGTTCTGAACGGTCACCTCCTGAATCTAGTGATAAATGTCACATTTACCTGAACCCCTGTTGGTACTGCTTCTAAAAGTGTATTAGCCGTTTCCAGTGCTTATAGAAATTTGAGAAATATATGCTTCGCGAAGTATTTTCCTGCTTGCTTTTTCTAGAGTCTTTTAGTGATTAATGGGAACTTTAATTTGCATGCTCACTTTTACGCTTATTATAGTGTATTATGTTCCAATAAGAGTATTAAAGTTCAATGAAAATCTCATGCATACTAATGAGAATGCAGATGAACACTGATGAAAGAATGCTAGGATCTTAAGACATAAACTGTCCAGTTATCTTGCTAAATTCTGTTCAAACAATGGTTACATTATAATGAAGACTGATACAGAATGCACCATACAGATATAATTAGCAATGGCAAAATCATTATATAATTTATAATTGGATAGAGGTTCAGTTCCAGATTGTTAGGAGGATAAAAAAAAAAAAAGAAATGTAATGATTTGATATTAATGCTTATTTTTATTCTTCCTCTTTCTAACCCTTGCCAACCTTCAGCAGGATATTTCCTTTATTGCATATAGTGATTGGGAAAGTTAGGGATGATTATATAAATGAGTTTTCACATTGAATATTTCCAGCTGTAGCCTTTATTGGATACGTAGCAGCAAACGGTCATCAACCATCATCTCAAGAACATTTGAAGTATCTGGTTATTGTAGAATTACACAAATTTATCCCAGCAATTGCATTTATTTATCTAGATAAAACAAAGACCTTTTTTCTTGAGCCATTTAAAACAAAGCTAAAGGAAGTCCTATATCTTTCCTTAGAGAATAGTGTGTCCCATGAGGGTGACTATTCTAGGCAGTACTTAATAATATATTACCTGAGTTATAGTGCATTCTTCTATGCATGAATTTTATAAACTTCTACAAAACAAACTTTAGAAAACATATATCAGTGTTTACTAGATATATTAATTTATCTTGGGATTTTTTGAAAATTATGTAGTAATTCTCTTGACATATATTTCTTATTTTAACCTTACAAAGAAACGGGAAATGTCGTTTTATGAGTTTGTTGATAAGACAGTTTGCTGTTTTAAGTTGTTTTTCTTGTGGTGATAAAGTTAAGTATGCATTGTGCCGTGATACTTTCCAGCATGATCTAACGCCAACAGTTTATGTTCACAGACTCTCGAGTACATGGTGTTCATTAGTAAAAAGTGTAATAGTTAATAATGATTTTTATTTTAGATATTGTGCAAGTGTTTTTGAATCAGGATAGATAGTTCTTGATACAAGGCTTGTACTTATTGGGTTGGCAATAAGCGGTTGGCCAAATGATAAATATTTTATAGCCTTTGTGGACTCTACAAGTGTGGCTATGTTCCAGTAGAACCTTATGTACTGACAGTGAAATTTAAATTCTATGTAATTTTTATGTGTCTTGAAATACTATTCTTCCCTTGATATTTTTTTCAACCATTTAAAAATGTAAAACAAGTTATAGGCTAAATTTGGCTCACAGGTTGTATAATTTGCCGACCCTGCCCTAGCATTTGATTTTTCTTAACTAACTTTCAATCTCATTTAAAACTGAAGATTTACTGCTTAAAAGCTTATAGAGGTATATGGCTTATATTGAATTGTTTTAAAAGAAGCCTGTATCCTAGGGGGAGAAATGCCCATGAATAAAGCTAAGTAACTTTTATTTTGACCATAAAAAGGCAGTTGAAAATTCCATAAAGGACTCATTTCCTTGATTGCACAGAGGAATCTTGCTATTGCTAAGCTGGATTTTCTAACGCAGGTAAAAATCCCATTACAACAAATATTTGTGTAGTGGAAGTATTTTATAGTGCAAGTATTCATTCCACAGCTGTATTAAGAACCTACTCTTTTGAGGCATTCATGTGGTAGAAAAATAAATCTCCCATGGATACATCTTGCTACCAACAACCTTAGAATCTTAACAAGGAATATAAAATCTATACAAGTTGTGACTGGAAATGGACCAAATAGGAGTGGTAGCTAATGAGAAAGAGAATGCAGTGGCCCCTGGGTGGCTCAGTCTGTCAAGTATCCTACTTTACCTCAGGTCATGATCTCGCGGTCCGTGAGTTTGATCCCTGTGTTAGGCTCTGTGCTGACAGCTCAGAGCCTGGAGCCTGCTTTGGATTTCTGTGTCTCCCTCTCTGTCCCTACCCCGCTCACACTCTGCCTCTCTCTGTCTCTCAAAAATTAATAAATGTTAAAAAAATAAAAACCCACTAAAACAAAAAAGAAAGAATGCAGAGAAAACAGGGTTAGAAACTCAGAAGTCAGAGTAGAGAAGGTAAAACTCTGGAACTATATTAAAAATACTTATACGGGATCAGTGCAAGGCCTACAGTTGAATGTTGCTCACTATACACCTACAACCATTCAGTACTTGGCTTGTCTAGAGGACAGTTTGTGCCTGGTGCTAGTACTTGGGTGACAAAAGGCAGGCTGGTGGAGCTGGTCTGATGGGAAGGTAGGTGGTAAACAGACAGAGATCGAATTTTAGAGCCATTTTAACAAGAGGTTGATTCCCAGGCTGTTGAGTTTATGTGGATTACTTAATCTTTGTGAACCTCAGTTTCTCATACTGTAAAATGGGGTCACCAATTCTTATTTTATGACTTGTAATTAAGGTTGCAACCTATTCTTCCTAGTTTTGTGTTCTTTGCATGTTGCTTGCTGAAATTTGTGAGACAGCTTAGTAGAATATGGATAGCTTTTGGAGCTGGAAACAGGGTCAAATCTACACTCACATGCTACCCTTAGTATATAAATTTGAGAATGTAATTTCTCTACTAAATAAGGATACTTCACAATTTTGTAAGGAAAATTAAATCAATTAAAGTGATCAGTTTTCTCCTTTTTAAAGACCAAATTTCTACCGTATAAGGATATTTTCTTTATATATTCTGATAGTCCTAGCTAATAGTATTGCACTTAAGGTTTTCTAGTCTATTTTAAAATATATAGGTTTATTGAATTATAGTGATAAAAATAGTTGATAATAATATTAACTTAGACTTAATGCTTACTGTATACCAGGCTCTGAGCTAAAAAATTTTATATATAATTTCATATACTTTTCACAACAACTTTTAAATGTAGGTATTATTATAATTTAAATTATATAGATTGGAAATCTGATGCTTACAAAATTAAGTAGTTCCCCCCCAGTGACACAGCCAGTAAGGGATGAAGTTGAGATTTGAACCCAGAAAATCTGATTCTACTCTCCTAAACATCATCTTCCATGTGATTCATATATACTTCCCCTGAGGCAGCTGGCCCACTCCCTTCCTGTTGCTACAAAGCACTGAGCACTCAGGTGAATTCAGATAATTATTAGGTCTGATTTTAGAAATGGAACTGCCTTTCTTTATTGAACTCCCTATGCTGTTGTATTTTTTCAGGAACAAATCATTACCTGACATCATATATTTGTGTGTTTGTTTTCTGTTCCCCTTCACCAGTATATATGCTGCAGGAGAGGAGAAAGTTCATGTTTAGTTCCTTCTTACATGTCCAGTGCCTAAAACAACATGTAACAGGTGCTCAGTAAATATTTGCTTTATGCGTGAATAAGTAAAATGTTTGTGCAAATTACCAAAATTTACATTTAAATATTATTTGTCTTTCTAGCTTGGATTAGAAGAAAAAGAAAGACTCCACCTACAATGGAGGTAAGAATATACAACGAAAATACTCAAATAGCCTGTATTTATAATGCTGTGTTTCTCAGTTGGGAGTTTACATGAAGCCTCAGAATAAATATTATGCATCTTCCCAGAGTGCTCATTTTACTCCACAGACAAGATGTAAAAAATTTTTATAATAAATGCACAAGTTATAGAATATAACATACAATTCATAGCAATTTTAAAATGAAATAATACAAATGCAATACAAAATTAAAATATTTTTTAAAAAGTTTAGACTTATAGCAGCTTACATCAGGATATTTTGCCTGGTTCCTGGAGCTGTGTTCTGATACGGGTGCTTTGGTGGAAAAGTCTGAGACATGCTGAATTTCATGGTCCTATCCAAATCGTGCTTATTTTTCCCTTAATTTTATATTAAACATAAAATGTTTTTTAATTTTGTATACATTTAACTCTATCGAGTATCTGAAGAAACCTTAAAATATACAATTAGCATGTAACATGGAACACTTAGTAATTAATAGTTGAATTCTTATTTTAAACTTTAAAAACATGGTTTTGGTAACATGCAGAATAAGAAGTATAGCAATGCTGTGGTGTATGTATTTTTAAAACATAGTTATTTCATAATTTTTATGTTAAAAACAGTATCACAAAGTGTTCTAAAATTGTTTTGTTAGAATTAAATGCATTTCATAAGAGGAAAGTTTCCACATGGATTAGGGTACCAGCTTTTCCTTTTCTTCTATTTAGGACCCCCTCCTCTTTTCTCTCCCCTTTTCCATTATTACTACAGCCCTGATGACAACAGAAATGTTGCTCCACCAGTCAGGGCCCACTTGTTGAGAGGTGGGGTACTCCAGGGCAGAACTCATGGTGACCCATAAGTTGGCTCCATTTCTCCTATACCGACCCCATCAATGCTTGTCAGGCAGAGGTCTGAACGATCGTGTCTCTGAGCCCACTTCTAGCTTTGTATGTTACTTTCACTTTTGCCCTGCCCTCCTCTTGTCATACCTTTCTTTCTAATATCAGTGGACCTTGGAAATAAAAGGGAAGAAAAAGTCATTGTGATCCAAGATTCAGAAGCATCCCCAGTGGTTTACAGTGGTAGGAATCATCGAGAAGTCCTTCCAGTTCCCCTTCATTTGGCCATAATAAGAGTTCCTATTCTCAGAGCCAAAGATGTTTCTTCTAACCTCGGAATTCTGAAAGCGTTCTTCAACGGAAACATTAATATGCAAAGCGATTAGATGAAGGCACCTGCAACTGTCAGGGCTAAGACACCACCCCTGTAAATTTCAGGTAATCCCAGCGTTTCAGACAATCTCCAATCAGAACAGTGAGACCAAGTCATGGAATATCCATGATACTCATATTCTTGAATATTTGAATAGGAGCCTTCCCTTGCTTCTTTTCTAACGTATTATCAATCTCATCCTTCTTTATGCTCTTTTGTACCCTCCCCACCACACACGCATATACCTTTCCTTCCCTCTTGATCTCTTCCACTCTGTTTCAGGAATTTCTGTTTTTTTGTTAGCAAATTATCCTTAACCTTTAATAATTTCTTAGGAACTTTCTCTACCACAAAACCTCATCTGAAATCTGCCTGTGTCTGAAAAGATAGTGAGCCTTCTTGTGCTCCTTTTACCACAAACCACAGAAAGAATGTGGGTTCAACTGTTCCTTTCTTTCCCTGGTCCTTGCCAAAATATTCTTTCATTTTGTGGACCCAAGGGAGAGTAGTAACTTTTCAACCTAAGTATGTTTTTCTCCACCTGTTGATAATTTTTGTCTCTGCCAACCTGCAGGCCACTCCCCACCCTGATGGTGAGGATGAGAACCAGACTTACAGACTTCTTCAGTGCCTTTCCAAGTTTTAGATGTTCAGTTTTTTTTTTTTACTCCATCCATGCTAATATCCACACCGCAAATGAACAGCCACTTCCATAGCCACACCTTAGTTCTTATTGTCACCAAACACCATTCTACCACTACAGCTTGTAAACTCTTAAATCCCAGATTCTACATATGTCATAATAAGAGAAAACTACTTAATTTAAACTCAATTTAAAACTACTTAATTTAAAATAAGACAAGTTTACAGAGAGCCACAAGAATTAAATGTATGGCTTAATGGGTTATTATACGGTGAATTCCACACAGGTCAGAAATAGAACTTTGTCATCTATTCTAGAATCACGTGCTGTGTCTCAGTATAGCCTCCCCCAAAAGCAATGCTGAACCTTTCACAGTACTCATTTTCTCACAGTTTTATATAATTTCATCACCCAAATGTACATTATAGTTTAGAGTTTTCCATTTTGTAAAAACTTCATATTTGATTTAAATCTCCATCAATCTCTTTGGTTCTCCCCCACCCCTTTTATTTTCTTATAAATTTATCTGTTGAAAAACCCAGCCTGTTTGGCCTGTAGAGCTTGCCACAGTTTAGATTTTGTTGACCTTATGTTATTCATATTAGTTCAAGACATTCCTTTGTCCTCTGTCTTTCCTTCAGTTTGGCACCTGGATCCAGAAGCTGGCTACTCATGTTTGATCTTTTTGTCAAGACTGTAGAAAATGTTGGCAGGACTATGGTAGAGCACATCTTGTTGTGCCTCTTTTTGTAATTTTCACAGTTGTTTATGCTTCATGCCTATGTCAGTTCATTCGAAACAACCTCCTAATCTTGCATATCTGTTAAAACTAGTTAGTTTTCAAGATGCTATCAGTCATTTGAGCTCTCTACTTTTTTTCAAGTCTCTTAGTGAACTCCCACCCCCAAACAGACTTCTTTCCCTTCTACATGTATACTACAGCTAAAGGTTAGCCAATAACAATTAGAATGCCGTTTACAGTAGTGTCAGAAAAGATAAAATACCGTGATATAAATTAAGCAAAATATATGCAGGACATGTACACTTAAAACTAATGAATGCTGTTGAGAAAAAGAAGACCTAAATTAATGGAGAGAAATATCTGTTCGTGGGTTAGAATATTTAATCGCTAAGATATTATTTCTTCCAAATTGATCTACAGCAGGAAAGCTTATACTTTATCATGCATCACCATCACCAGGAAGGCTTGTTAAAACACAGATTGCAGGGCCCAGCCCCAGAGTATTTGATCCACTAGGTCTTAGGGTAAGGCTTGAATATTTGCATTCATAACAACTTCCTTGGTGATACTAATGCTGCTGGTCAAGAGCCCTTACCTTGCAAACCACTAGTGTAGAAAGTCATTTAAATAAAAACCAAATTAAAATTGCATCAGACTTGTACAAATCAAGATATTTATGAATTCTAAAATATATTTTTCAATGCAAAGGCCCTAAAGTAGCTGAAAGCAACCAAGAAAAAGGAGATAAAAATTAGAGAACTTACACTGTCTGGCACTAAGACTTAACTCTAAAACTATAGTAATCAAGACAGTGTGGCACTGGAATAAGGATATATAAATAAATGAATGAAAAAGAATAGAGAATCCAGAGGTAGACACCATACAGCCAATTGGCTTTGACACTGGCACCAATGGAACACAGTTACAAATGGAAAGTCTTTTCAACAAATGGTACTAGAATAACTTAATATCCACATGGAAAAAAATAAAGATCCCTACTTGACATCATGTGCCAGTATTAATTCAAGATGGAACCTAGCCTAAACATAAAAGCTAAAACTTATAATGCTTCTAGAAGAAAACATAGTGGAATATCTTCACAACTTTGGGGTAAACAAGAGATAGAAAGCACTATCCAGAAGGGAGAAGCATTGGTGAATTGAACTTAATCAAAACTAAAACTAAGCTTCTCAAAAGAGAACATTAACAAAGCAATAAACTGGGAGAAAATAATCACAGTGTATGTATTTGATAAAAGACTCATATCCAGACTACACAAAGAACATCCCAACTCAATGATTTAAAAGAAAAGAAGGCAAAGCTAATAGAAATTGGGTAAAAATCTTGAACAGTCACTTCATAAAATACAAGAATGAGCACTAAGCCTATGAAAAGATGCCATCTCTAGTCATCAGAGAAACCACAGTGAGATGCCACTATACTACACATTCAAGAAAAGAGCTAAAATTAAAAAGATTAACAATAACTAGAGCAACCATACTTTTCATGTAGTGCTGGTTGTTGTGAAAATAATACAACCACATTTGAAAAAACTGGCTGTTTGTTATAAAATCAGACACCTCTACCCTCTGACACCAATTTTTCTCCTTGGCCCCTTTGAAGTCTGAAGGAATAAATATTTAGGCATATTTCTTGGGAAGCTCTGTCCAAAAGAAGGTCTAGTTGCTTGGCACACCATGCAAGGCCTCCTGATTTGTGCCCAGCCCACATTTTCTTACTTTCCTTCTTATGCTTGTTATACCCACTCAACTCTCCAAGGAACTCCCTGCTGTTTCTTAGGTTTACTGTCTTTTCTCTCCCTCATCACCTGGCACACTTCTGCTTGTGCTTAGTTCCCTTTAAAATTTCTTGATGGGATTCTTTGATTCCCTTTAAAATTCCTCGACTGTTTGCTCAACTTTTCATCCCGTAGAGTTAATCACTCCTATCTAGCTAGAGCTGTACTGCCATGTACAGCTGTGTAGTTCTTTGAGTTCAGTATCATAATTCTGTTTTATTTTTCTATCTTTCTGACTATATTATGAGCTGTATGACACAAGGATTGTGTCTTGTTTGTATGTCACAGACACCCAACACAAAGCCTAATTCATTATTAGATAAGCTTTTGTTGACAGAATTGGAAATCTTGTTGCCATGTAAGTATATTCCATGATTTCCATACAGAGTTTGAATTTCCAACCAACCCACTGTAAAATGACCCGACAAAACTGAATATATTTTGAAGTTGAGTATTGCCTATACTGTACTGTTACTGTAGGTTGCCAATCTAGTATAGCACCTTTTCATCAGTGTGGTACAAGTTGAATTAATATTTCACAAAATTAATGAGATAAACTTTTTCTAGTGGTGACTATATTCCATTTGAAGTCGTGTAT